ATTGAGAAGATGAAATTTTAGTGAAGACCGAAAGGAGCTGGGGGAGTGAACCATGCACATATCTGGGAGAAGGATGTTCCAGGCCAGAAGAACCACAGATGCAAAGGCCCTGAAGAGCCTCGTGTGTTTAAGAGGACTCCAGCCAGGCAGAAGCAGAGTAAGGAGGATGACAGGAAGTGAGGTTAGGGTGATGGCAATTTCCCATCGGGTAAGGATTTATAAACCAGTGTGAGGCCTTGGCTTTTGCTTGGATTGAGTGGAAAGCCATGGAGAGGGGTGATGAACAAGGGAGAGCCAGGATTTGATTAGGTCTTAATAGAATAGTACTGGCTGCTGTAATGAGAAGACATAGGAATGCAAAGGGGGAGTGATCCCTCTTCCACCTCATTCCTCCCCACAGGACGGCCGTGCCTCCCACCTGATACCCTCCCCTGGCCGTGTGGTGCCACCTTCCATCGCCCATCCATCACCCTTTGGACAGGCTCAGCGTGTACCCTCGCCTCGCACCTCAGCTCCAGTTTGTATCCACAACTCCTGGGGGCTGGGCGAGGGCAGAACAACCTGGCTGGGATCCCTGCTCAGTCTAGGTTTTGTTCCTGCTTAGCCATCCTCCTCTCTCCCCAGACCTCGTATTCAGTTTTGCGGCGTCTTGCCGTTCGCCCCAAAACCCAGTTCACACCCATCCTGTCGGCCCCCAGAGTTCAGCAGGTAAGGGAGAGCGGAGAGAGTGGGGGCGGGTAGCTGGCATAGGCCAGGGCAGGGGAGGAAGGGAATGGATGGGTACAGAGAGAGCTATGATGTCTCACTTCTGTCTCAGGCCCAGTGTTTGAGTGGCCTCTCCCCTCAGTCTTGCCCTGAAGACCCTGCCCTGCCCTGGGTAAGTATCTGAAGGCTTTCCATGCTGAGATCCCGCTCTGTGTCCTATTGGCCTGAGCCCAGCAGTTTCAGGCACGTGGGCTCTCTGGAAAAGCTACCAACTCTCCAACTCTCCCTGCTCCTCTGCTGCCCCTCCTAATCTCTGTTTAGGGCCTCTCAACGAACCTGATTCCTTCTTTGTGGACCCCTTTGTGGAACCTGGTCTTCCTGCCCCAGCCTGGCTTCCTCACACAGCCCCTCTCCTCCTCTGTGGCAGGAGCAGATTGCAATCCGGTTATTTGACCAGGAGAGCTGCATGAGTTTGCATGAGGGTCCTGGGAAACCCGCTGTGGCAGCTCCTCATGGACCCCACCCTGGCACAACCCCCAAGCTCCAGGAGCTGAAGATGCAGGTGGGTCTGTGGGCAATAGCTTTGATGCCTGATTGGCCGTGACGCAGCAGGGAAGGGGATGCAGGAGAGGGAAGTATGGGAACAGGACAGTGTGGGTGGAGACTTGAACCCACACACTGACATCACCCTGGGTACTCTTCTCCCACTCACAGCGCATCAGTATCCTGCAGCAGCTGTTGCGACAGGAGGTAGAAGGGCTCACAGGGGGCAAGTGTGTCCCCCTGAATGGAGGCTCCTCTCTGGATATGGTTGAACTTCAGCCCCTGCTAGCTGAGATGTCTAGAACTCTCAATGCCCCAGAGAAGAATTCAGGGGACTTACACCCTCCCGGACTGTTACAGAACCCTGGGCTACCAAAGCCCTGCCTCCCAGAGGAGTGTGGGGAACCACAGCCCTGCCCAGGAACAAAGCTGGAGATAGCTCAGCCCTGCCCTGCAGCAGAGCCAGGGCCCCCAGAGTCCAGCCATAGCAGGGAGCCTGGGATACCAGAATCCCCTGTCCAGGAACAGCCTGAGGTATCAGAGCCCCGCCCTCCAGTAGAGCCTGGACCCCTTCAGGCAGACTCCCACGGGCAGACTGGACTCCTAGAGCCCTCCCCTAGGATAGAGCCTGGGGCATCAGAGGCCTGCTTCCTGGAACCTAGAAGTCCAGAGTCCAGCCCACGGCCCTGCTGCAGTCCGTGGGCACCAGCCACCACCAACCTGATCTTCTCCTCCCAACGCCCACTCTGTGCCAGCCCCCCTATTCACTCACTCCGGTCACTGAGGCCCCCAACAGGCCAGGCAGGTAAGGAGTTGGCTGGAAGGGCTTGTGAACAAAGGAGGTCCTCATCTCTTACTGGGAGCGGGCCCCCACCTTGCACCAGCTGGTCCCATTGCTTGTATTTCCCCACCTACCCTGCCCCAGCCTGGCGCTCTTTCGGGAAGAAGGGAAGAGTTGCGCCTCGAGCTGTGTGCTGCTCTTGGCCCTTGGTGGGGGAGTGGGGAAGCGCTGGATATGACGGGAGTTTAGAGCCTGCCCTCAAGTCTCTGTGGCCCTCGGCCCTCAGGCCCCAGCAACCTGGCCCCTCGAACCCTGGCTCTGAGGCAGCGCCTCAAAGCATGTTTGACTGCCATCCACTGCTTCCACGAGGCCCGACTGGATGATGAATGTGCCTTCTACACCAGCCGAGCCCCACCCTCAGGCCCCACCCGGGTCTGCACCAACCCTGTGGCCACATTACTCGAATGGCAGGACGCCCTGGTGAGCCTCCCATTCACAGCCAAGCTGTGCCTGCACAGCAAGCCTGTAGAAAGTAGGGTGGTGTGGGGAGAGGGAAGGCAGGGGGGCGGGGAAGCCTCTGCTTCTTTACAGTGGTCAGTGGGGAAGGGTTGGCTACAGTTCAAGGATGGCTGGGCTGTGACAAGGTCTCTCTCTCCAGTGTTTTATTCCAGTTGGTTCTGCTGCCCCACAGGACTCTCTATCATGATGCGTCCACATCCTGTCCTGCCATGAGCCTTCCTTTTAGCCCTTATTTATTATCCTTCAATAAAGTTTCTTTTTTTATTTTATTTTTTTAATGTTTTATTCTTGAGAGAAAGAGAGACAG